GCAATTTTATTCTTGTGCGTCGACTCGAAGGTCGGACTGGTTGTTTTTGCCGCGAGGCTGGGCCAAGACTGAATCTGTTTACGTACGGAGCGACTCTCTGGTCTCATGCGGCCAGACAGTAGCGTTGCCGCTCGGCTGCGGCTGGCTACGAAACTATTCAAGTGGAATACGCCACATCATGCTTCGAAACGATTTTAGTCATTGCAAGCGCCGTTGATGTATTATATTGAAAACTAATTCGAAGCTGAGTTTGGATCGATCTTTGAGAAAAAATGTGAAATAAAACACTTGTCCACAATTCATTACCGGAATTTTGCGCACACGATCTAGCGTATGTCATGGGCATGCTTCGCGCGATGTAATGGCAGAAACTGCATTCGCCGTAAAATTAGTGTTTCTGAGAGTGCGCCAAAGTCCAAAGTACATGAGGTACGAATGCAGTGGTTCCTACTTACACATGTTGTTTGTTTGGAATCGCATTTTGAAGATCTAACGAATCGATTGATATAAGTTTTGTTTTGTTGGATGATCTTTTGTATTGTGTGTAGAGCCTCCTTTTAATGTGTTGCATAGGACAATGCTTTAAGATAGTATTGTTCATAACGCTTTTTGAGTACGTTCCCAAAGTGCTGTATAAAGAATTTAAGAAAAATATTGTTTGTATGAAATACTAAATTATTTATAATAATGTAGCAGATTTGATAAATTTACAAAAGATTTTAAAACTTTATCGAAAAAGCTCGGCTCGATCAAAGTTGTAAAAATAAACTTTTCGAACTTTTAAGACCAGATTCGGAAACTAGAATAATTTTCTGATAAAACGTATATTTCAGTTTTTCCATTAATACTTTTGCATAATTAATGTCAGAAAATCAATTTGTCAGAAAATTAAATTCTCTGCATTTTTTCTCACGGGGCCAATACTGTGGCTTTCTTGCTTTTCGAGTTATTTTGAAAAAACCAAAAACAGGGCAAATTTTTCTCGGTTTTTAGTTTATAACTAAAAAAGTTCACCTCCATATGGAGACAGATTTTGTCTACATACTCCCTGAGACTCCCCCTACAACATGGTATAGGTCGCTTGCTACTATTATTTTTTGTCCAAATCGGCTTTTTTTCATCTAAGTGCACTGGACTAAAGTGACATGGGCTCCATGCACCACAAAAGTTAGAAAGAATCCGTGCAATGTGTGTACACAGAGCTTTGTGTATCGGCTTATATTCACAATACGATCGAGTAAATAGCGTACATACATAATTGTGTGCAACCGCGCAATCGAGTGCGGATTACCGACATTATAATAAGCAGCATTATGTATTACAGTTTAAGCGCGATCACGTTTACTCGTTGTATATTAGCACACACACACACACAGGAGGATCAACTAGTGTATATTAGACCGGTTCGTTTTGGAAATTTTTTTTTTAATTTTGGGAGCACCGGCAGAATATTTTTTTTCATAAATTTGACTAAGTTCATATTCGAGGACTAGTTGAATAAACAGAAAAAATCTAGAAAATTTTTTAATACTGCTGGTTTTTCATAAATCAAGCCAACTCAGAATTTTGGAATTTTAAGAGTATAGAAATATATAGAATAGAATAGCTATATAGAAATGCGAGTGTCAGAGGGGATCGCGTGCGGGTAGCTTATACTGTGCACACACGTAGACACACATACACACTGACAGACTTTTCTAGCCCCAGCTCCGTGAAACGACACGGCGCGGATACCACACACATTCACGAGCGATCCCCCTCACTTTCACGTATTGGCTACGGGAATCGCGTAGGAACAGCTCCGTGAGTGACTTACGGAGTATATCCGTGAAAAATCATAGCTGCGTTATGAGGTGCATTCGGCGAGATTTTGTGTATAAAAGGCGAGCGGTCAATTAACAAAATCGTACGAGAAGAATAAATAACAGAATTTTTTGTAGGATTCTCATGACATAGTGCTACTGATAATGGAAATGTATCTTATTAGTTGTAAAAGTAATTTTTTACCCCTTTAACGTGTGGAATGACCATTTTTGGACAACATTTATAGCGATGAATTACACCAACTAAAAATTGTTTAAAAAACCTTTCAGAAATAATTTCTTACGTAAAATTGAATGTACTTTCAAAATGAATTGAATTTTCAAAAATTTATTTAATTAAAAGTTATAAAAAATTTCGTAAAAAAAACATGAAATTTCGAGAAAAAAAATTTCGTTTAACTCAAATTTCATCACGGAAAAAAGGTTTGCTCGTGCGTCTCACGCGTATAGATTTGGTCAATAGCATGTATACTTCATTGTAAAATAGTTATAATTATGAAATTCAATATGGCGATCATAGATATGACTCCCGAAGACATGTATGTCATGAAATGTTTTCGACAATTTTTAACTCGATAACCATCAACTTTACGCGAAAAAGTTGTAGAATAAAAAGGGTTTAGAATTGATCAAAAAACATGCCTGCTTTTTGTAATTCATCGCTATATATGATGCCAAAAATAGTCATTTTAGGCGTTAAAGGGTTAAATCAATTTATTCAAACAAATAGGGAAATTTCTAAAATATTGTCTGGACACAATTGTTTTGAGCAACTAAACATTAAAAATATTCATCGAATTCTTTCAAAGGATCTGTAAATTTCATTAAATTGCCGTGAATTTTAAGATAGGCAGTGTTATATACCAATGACCCAGCGTTAAGTATAGAAAAATTCAAATATAATAATTAAAATAAGACCGTCAAATTAACACGTATGACGCTTGATCCCGCGGGTAAAGAGGCATGGGTGTAAGATGAACACAGAGACAGGCAAGCGCTGTCGCATGAACGTGTGTAAGCGGCCTACGCACACCGGCGCGTTAGGTCGAGCCCACTGCACATATATGTATCCCGCGCGCGTATGTGTATAAGCCGAACATAGAGCAACTAGCAAGGCGAAAGCTATCGCTTGAATGTACGTACGGACGTGCGCGACCAACATTTCCGACGCACTAGATCAAGCTCCGCACACGTATATATTCCGTGTGTGTGTACTCGCGTGTGTGTGCAAGCCGAACACAAAGAAGGCATAACACACACATGCGCAGGCCCGGACTGGCGACAGGGAATTTGAGCTTTGTGAAGCTGGCAGTGGAATTGAAAGCACACTACTTTACTTTATACCGCTGGATAGAGAAAAAAAATCTTATTAAGAATACATAAATTAAAAATATGGTTGACTTTTTATTTATTAATATCGTTTGAAAAACTGTCGAACGCTACTTGGAACAAAAAATAAATAGAGATAAGTTGTCGATGGGAGATTTTCTCAGCTTTCTCATGGTGCAATTAGATTTTCCAAAAAATTTCATTTTTACAAGGAAAAGTCAACATTATACAAAAATTTCACTTTTTCCGTACTGAATTTTTCGACATATTTAGCCCTCGATGTATGATGGCGATTTTCGCGGTGAAAATTAGATATTTCGGAAAATCTAACTGCACCATGAGAAAGCTGAGAAAATTTCCTATCGCATACAGTAGTCAGTTAAATTTTTCAGATGAGTTTTGATACTTTTTCAACGACTTGGAAATCGAGTAATTAGTCGTATTTGCGTGAAAAGATGACTTTTCGGCGTTTAAAACACAAAAGTGCCCTAAAAAAATTAACTATTTTCAAATTTCATGTTCAAACGTTTTTTTTTACTTCTGGAGGTCCTATGAACAATTTGCGGGGGTCCGGGCTGCTGGGCATGCAAAAAAGATTTCGCTTTTTTTTGTTAACGAAACGGAATTTTATTTTGAGATTTGACCATATAGATCAAAAGCAAAAAAGGAAAAATGTATTCTAAGATCATAGAAACCTTTCCAGTGGTATAATGAATGTACGGTAAAAATTTCAAAACGATTGGACGGGTAGTTTTATGAACATTGTAACGGTCGACTCCCCGTGTCCACCGTCTACAAGGCGTTCTCAGTGCCTGGCCGACTTTGTCGTAATACGACGCGCCAGACGAGCGACTGCTCGTCGTCGGCCAGGGTCCGGCTAGCTCTATAGGGACGGGAAAAAACGCGAGATACTACCTCGAGGTCGTGGGTACGACTCTCCTCCTGGAGGGGACGTCGACAGGTATGGAGCGGGGACTCCTGCAACTGCAACACTGCACCTAGAAAAACACCTGTAAACGAGAAAATTCGCGAGAGAGAGAGGAAAGGTAAACGACGGGTCTTGAAATAATAAAACAGTGAATTTCGATAAACACAAAGATTCTATTTTATTGAAATATCCTAAATACTCATTCACGCAGGCCGAAGTTCTCACACTCATTCGCACCGGGTCGCGGACGCGAGCTGCGTTGCCGTTCGGAGGGTCTATGCGAAGCGCGGTAATACCAATGGCTACTCACAGTATTCCTCGCTCTCGAGGCTCGCGACCGCACGGGTCCTAAGAGTTGCTGCTGTTTTTCCTCGTGGTCGTCTGTTGGCCACAGACGCGAACAGGGACGGGCCGGAAGGTCGAACTACGTCGCGTTGATGTTGATATGGTGCGCCGCACGTCTAGCCAGCACACCCGCTCGAGCACGTGGCCACCAACTGCTCGCTCTCACCAACACGCACCAAGACCATGCCTGCACTCAACAATCCCTCAACTTTTTGGCATACATTCTGAGAGTTAATCTGTTAAATGTAAATATCGATTTTAATTCTAAGGCACGGTTCAAACCTGTGCCAATGGGTTATAAACCGTACTAAACATGTTTTTATATCACTAAGAAGTGATAAGTCTGGAGCAAGGATTTTCAATGTTTGGGAAATAACCGTTACTCTTAACACTTGTTAAGAAAGATAGACATAAGGCAGAGTTTCGATTTTCTAAACTGAAACATTTTATTAATTACATGTTAAATAACCATGTGACATTTTGAAAATATGTTTCTGTATTTGTACACTTCGACTGTTATGTTTATATGCGTATGTGTAAGAGCGCGAAAACTCGATGTTGACGTGAGTCTGATTTTACATTTGTATAATTGTTAGTATTAATAGTAATGTGATTGCTTTCGAATCTCACAAAGCAAATTGTGGAATATTGATTAATTCATTCTAAATAAAATATTTATAATATTTATCAAACATCAAATAGTTTTGAATATATTATTTCTTCGGTGTCGGAGCATTCGACATACGGAAAAAAATGCCGCCAAGTCCAGTAGATCGAAAATATTTTCTTGCAAGATCGAATGCTGATGTACTCATTAATCTGGTAAATTATTTAAGTGATAACGAAATTGAAGAAGAACAATTACAGAATAAAAAAGTTTTGAAGACTATTATACGTGATGGTATGAAAAGATATGTGAACAACGCACCAATATCGTCAATATATTTGGACGCGTTTAAAAGTACGATGATAACTTTTAAAATCGATTATTTGAAAACTGTAAATTTATATCGCATAAATAACGGCATACTGCTCGTGGGATGCGTCGAACATCTTTTGTTTCCCAAATTAGAATACGGGGAACTTAGAAAAATTTATCGTTGTAGCTACCCAAAGGCGAAAAAGATATACAATATACTGTGTGGTTTTCCCGAACAGGAAGAACAAAACGATGACATAGTTATAGCAGCTAAATCATTTTTTGAATGCAAAATGTTCGAAAATGTACGAAAAAGTGAATTTTTAAAAACAATTCGAAATTACTTGAGAGGACTTGAGATAGACTCAAACGAACTGCAATTTATACGAACAAAATCTATTCAAGTAATGTGAGTAGATTTTTTAAAGGTGACACATAATTTCTTACTCAAAATTAATTTATAATTTTCAGTAACGAAAGAGCAGCTAATATCATTTCTCAACTACGAGGACATTTTACAGATTCTATCAAAGATAGTCTACTCACGTCTACTCCAGAATTAAACGTATTGAAATCAATAAAACATAAATCTATTTTACCTAACTCTATAAAAATAATAAAAAAACCAAAGCCACTTCTTACAACTCGAGAATATCTCAATGCTAAATGTAGCGCAGTGGTCATCATTAATTTGCAAGAATATTTAATTTCTGAGGAAATTGAAGATGAAAATTTAGACGATATAAATCTTTTAAAGGATATCATTTGTAAGGGGATGAAAAGATGTGTGAAGGCCCGTCCTAAACGAATAGAATACAACACATTAAAACGCACACTTCTTGATTTGACAACTGACTATTTAAAGACAATACATTTATATCGAATGAATGTTGGGGTATTGCTGGTTGTGTGTGTCGAGGTATTATTACACGGGAACGAAAATAACGAAAACTGTCTCATGGTATACCGTTGTGATAGAGGCAAAGCTATTAAAGAATATAACAAACTATGTAATTTACCAGTAAATCAGAAACAACCAGTGGATATAGCTAAAGCAGCTAATTCTTTTTTTCGTTGTGATATGTTTTTAAAAGAAAATGGATTCTTGCAAAAGATAAGATGTTACTTGAAAGCCATATCTGATTACATTGACAATGACGAGTTATCTTATATAAGGGACATTTCAATTCAATTTATGTAAGTAAATACTTTCAAATTTTTAATAATATTTTTTATCCTTAAGTTATATTCAATTTTCAGACATGATCATGCAGCTAAAAACCGAGTTTAACTCCCATTGTTCAGGTTATAGAAATATTATTGATTAGAAATATTATTGATTAGATCGATGATCATTAACTTTTCCCAAGAACGATTGGCAGATTCATCTGCCGACACCAGATGGGCCATTAGTAAAAGTCTGATTTATCAGACTTATCGAAAACTCTTAGTACAAATCTCTCCTGATATGACCAGATAGAATTAGCTAGAATATCCAATTCGAATTTATGATCAGTAAAAATTGTAGTATGTTGGATTTATTTTACTATAAGAAGAAAAAGTCGGAATCTTATCCAAAAAAGATAGTAAAAATTCACTGAAGAAAATATGAATAACACCAATACCTTCAATGGGAACCCTGATTTAACGCAAAAATACTTTATAATTCTAGTCACCTTAACTGTCCCCCAAATAAACAAAGAAAAATTTGTCAATGGAATATAGCAAATCTTTTAAATATTAAGGAATAAAATTGTAATTCAGATATGAATTTATAACTTTTTTAATGTAGTATGATATCTTATAATAATAAAAATGATCAGTTCTAAAGCGTTAACATCAAAATAAGTCTATAACCGTCAATAAGTTAATATTCTACTTTCTTAACTTATTTTAACACTCGTATTTGCGCGCCAGTAAAGAGTCGCAAGCTACTCAACGACCAATCACAGCGCTTATAAACTGCTTACGCTAAAAACCTCATCACTCTTATAGGATAGGATATTTTGAAATTTTTTTCCATTCTTAGCCAAAATATTGGACACTCAATTCCAAAACTACTCATATACGTGCGCACATACACATAAACAGTCCCACACTTACATACACACACATTCGATTTTCTCGAGTGGTGAAGAGGGAAAGAGCACGCGGTCTAGTCTAGTCGAATTAGTTTTGAACGTAAAAAAATTCGCAACCGGCGTTTCTCACCGGGATTTGATGATAAGAATGAAGTAATAACAAATGCCACAGTTAATTCGATTGAAATTTAAACAATTGCGCCCTTTGAAATTAAGAAAATCGGTTTTTCGACTGCAGATTGAAACCTGTACATTAAATGAAAAAAAGTTTCGAACAAAAATTGTAAGTCTTTGCAAGACCTTCAATTTGATATATGTGTTACCGGCAAAACCCGCTTTAAGGCAAAAGTGACTTTTGTCTAGGCAAAAACCGCAATGCCTAAAAAAGTATAGGGAATTCCTCAATTTTTTAGGCTGAGCCCGCAATGCCTAAAAATTTTTAGGCATTACTGCAACATTAACACGTTAGTATACGATTAGTCAGCATCTAAGTCGGACTTATTTGTTAGTTGTGTTTATAACCCAATATGGATACAAGCTTGTACTCTCACTAGTTACTTAACTTAAAATAAAGTAAAAATGGAAATTGAAATCGATAATTGGAAAAATCAGTTTGTCGCCGGGGCTGACGAAAATGAATATTATAAATGTTATAAATTCCGACTTATATCATAACAGGTAGTAGCATTAAATACTGTGTACCGCTTGAAGATGTCTTTGATATCATTCAAGCCGTGCATATTGCGACTGGACATGGTAGGCTTTTGAAAGAAACATCGATCAAGTATTCCAACTTTACAAGAGAATTGATTAAGTTATATTTAAAAATGTGTGAAGTCTGTCACCAGAAAAAAATAAAGAGAAGAAGGGGGTTGGTATCCAATCCAATTTTCCATTCAGAAATGAAAAGTAGATGCCAGGTGGACTTAATTGACTTTCAATTATCAAGTGTCGACGGGTTTAAGTTGATAATGGTATAGCATGACCATTTGACGAAATTTGTAGTTTTAAATGCATTAAAAACAAAACTTTTGTATTCAAATAAATGCTTATTTTGTCACTTTACATTAATTTTTTACTTAAAATTATTAGCTCGCAGTAATGCCTAAAATTTTTTAGGCATAAGATTTAAGAAGTTCATATATTTCTGCGGTTGTTGCCTAACTTTTTAGGCATTTCTGTTTTTGCCTAGGCAAAAGTCACTTTTGCCTAAAAACGGGTTTTGCCGGTATCATATATATATGTTCAAATCTCAAAATAAAATTTCGTTTCGTTAACAAAAAAAGGTGAATTTTTTTTACGTGCCCAGTGGCCTGGACCCCCCAAAATTGTTCATAGGACCTCTAGGAGTGAAAAAAAACGCGTGAACATGAAATTTGAAAATAGGTAATTTTTTTGGGGCACTTTTGTGTTTTAGAAGCCGAAAAGTCATCTTTTCACGAAAATACGACTTATTACTCGATTTCCAAGTCGTTGAAAAAGAACCAAAACTCATCTAAAAAATTTAACTGACTACTGTACTCGATAGGAAATTTCCTCAGCTTTTCGTGGTACTATTCGATTTTCCAAAATATCCAATTTTCACCGCGAAAATCGCCATCAAACATTGAGGGCCAAATATCTCGAAAAACACGGTGCAGAAAAAGTGAACTTTTTGGGTAATTGTTGATTTTTCCTTGTGAAAATGAGATTTTTTGGAAAATCTAACTGCACCATGAGAAATCTGAGAAAATTTTCTATCGAAAACATATCTTTATTTATTTTTTGAGCCGAATTACAATTCTATACAAGCTAATTTTGATTGTCCTGTTCTCCGTTTTCGGTTTTCTGACTACGAATTAAACATACTTGTATTTCGCGAGAAGCAATAGAAATTTATTAACAGCGCACTACTTATTGTAACTGTAATTATTCAGCGCGAGTGTTGAAGTAACTTATTGTATTGTACCGACAGGCACCACCAGCATCAAGATTGACGATCATCTGCCGACGTAGCTTGTAAGCTTTTTTTAAATAGTATTAAATTATTATTTTTGTAATAAAGTCTTGGGTGTGATCAATGAAATAGGTGTACAATGACTAAAAATAAAACAATAGACAAAGAGGCCGACCTTTAAATCGTGAACAGTTTGCTCAAAGATTTAACACTCGTCCAGAGAAAATTAAAAAGCGCGAGATTTAATAATACTTAACAATTTAGTAGGCAAACAAAAAGAAATTGACGACGAATTGAGAAAATACGAATATTTGGATATCAATTTTAATACATGTAGAAAACAAATAAATTCACCAACAAAATCACTTCTCGAAGAGATTATAGGGTGACGGCACCAATGAATGAGTGACCCCCAATGAATGAATGACCAAAAAAAGATTAAAATTAAAATATGAAAGGAAATTTTAACCCATGTTACGAATATGAAATTATTTATACGAATATAACATTATTACGAAATAGTACTATCCTTTTATGCGCGATTTAAAGACGTCGAAAGAAAAGTCGAAGCAGTTGCGCGACGCGATTCAAAATATAACCCATTGTTCAAAGCAAATTTACAAGGCGTACGCCACAGCTCTCTCTCCCTCTCTGCCTCTCTCTATCTAGACACGCTAGCGAGTGTCTAGTTATCGATGAACGAGTATTTACATATTAAACGTAAAAGGGCATACGTCCGCTCAACTTCGAGATACAGTGCCACTGCGCCGAGTAGCCAATCCTCGAACATTTTTTCAGTGTACCTATGTAATAGCTGGACGGAAGCATCTTCGAAAATACGCATAATAATAGCCGGGCGGCCCGCGGCCGACACTAACGTGCCGTAACGCTTATGCTCGCTTAGAGGCAGCACGCACACGCACAGACGCAGTGTGTGCGTGAAGACACGAGCGGCCCAGCGCGCATCAATAAGAGCGACGAGAATAGCTCATCGTATAATACATCAAGTGACAAGGAGACATCTCGCGCGAACGGCCCCTCCCCTCTGATATATTTTGAGCCTAATTAGTTAATTCACCTTTTATTTAACCCCTTCCCACGTAATAATAGAAACGCGAGGGTCGAAGGAGATCTCGCGCAAGTAGCTTATATACACTGACAGACCTTTCTGGCCCCGGTGCCGTGAAACGACACGGCGCGGATACCACACAAATTCACGAACGATCCCCCTCACTTTCACGTATTGGCTACGAGAATCGCTTAGGAACCGCTCCGTGAGTGACTCACGGAGTATATCCGTGAAAAATCATAGCTACGTTATGAGGTGCGTTCAGCGAGATTTTGTGTATAAAAGGCGAGCGGCCAATTAACAAAATTGTACGAGAAGAATAAATAACAGAATTTTTTGTAGGATTCTCATTACATAGTGCTACTGATAATGGAAATGTATCTTATTAGTTGTAAAAGTAATTGTTTAACCCTTTAACGTCTGAAATGACCATTTTTGGACAACATTTATAGCGATGAATTACACCAACTAAAAATTGTTTAAAAAACCTTTCAGATATAATAACTTACGTAAAATTTAATGTACTTTTCAAATCTGGGGTCAGAATTTTCAAAAATTTATTTAATAAAAAGTTATAAACAATTTTGTAAAAAAAAAAATATGAAATTTCGAGAAAAAAAATTTCGTTTAACTCAAATTTCAACACGAAAAGAAGGTTCGCTCGTGCGTCTCAAGCGTATAGATTTGGACAATGGCACGTATACTTTATTGTAAAATAGTTATAATTATGAGATTCAATATGGCGATCATAAATATAACTCCCGAAGACCTGTATGTCATGAAATGATTTCGACAATTTTTAACTCGATAACCATCAACTTTACGAGAAAAAGTTGTAGAATAAAAAGTGTTTAGAATTGATCAAAAAACATGCCTGATTTTTGTAATTCATCGCTAACTCGTAACAGGACATCTTAAACGAAAAATTGCAAAATGTACAAGTCTCAAAATTAGTCAAACAATACATTTGAATTTTTTCAGAATTTCTGAAACCTACTATCACTTATTTTCAAAGGTCTCTGTAATTCTTAAGAAAAAAGTAAAAACGCGTTAAATTTGAACCTTTGAAAATAGGTGATAGGAGGTCTCGAAAATTCTGAAAAAATTCAAATGTATTCTTTGACTAATTCTAAGATTTGTACATTGTGCAATTTTCCGTTTAATATGTCCTATATCTAGTTAGAAAATCACAAAGGTTTTTCAATAAACTAGAAAATGATTTTTAAAATGGGCCCTAAGGCCCATTGGATCAAACTAAGCATAGGGGGTTTCATTATTAGATACCAGGAGACCAAAAAAATATTTTCAGGACATTTGGTGACCCGCATCTCATGTGGTCTCCTTGTTGGAAAAAAAACTTTCCATATTATCACCTGATACATTAATCAAAAAACTATATTATTTCAACAATTCAACTCAACTCAAATTACGATCACCACTGTGGGCTATGTGCTATGAAGACATGTAACGCTCTCTGATTTGTCTCTCCACACGGAGAGAAAATATACGCGTTTGAGGGAGGACTTGTAGCAAGCGAAAATCGCTGGCTGTCCGGCAATGATCGCCGGAGACTCCACGTTAGGACTCGCGAGCGGCCAAAGCAACGCTGGGGTGTCTGACGATCACCGCCGGACAGCCAGCGATTGAGCCAGGCAAGCTTTCCA